AGTTGTTGTGTGTGTGTGTGTGTGTGTGTGTGTGTGTGTGTGTGTGTGTGTGTGTGTGTGTGTGTGTGTGTGTGTGTGTGTGTGTGTGTGTGTGTGTGTGTGTGTGTGTGTGTGTGTGTGTGTGTGTGTGTACATAGTTTTATACTTGGACTCGTTTTTAAGAAATAATTTATACGAAATTATCACGAAAAAAATTGAAAATTTTTTACAGAATAATCTATATAAAAATATAAAATAATATAGAAAAAACGATACAGAAAATAAAACTTTATTCCATCACACTATTGTCTCGTTAATATAAACTTCAATTGCTTATTAATAGAATAAATTAATAAATAAATCTCAATTAACATTTTTGTGTTATTAATTTTTGTATTTGCTTTAGCCTCTTGATTCAAAGATAATGTTTCACAAATAGATAATAAAAATGTTTTATAAGAGATACTAAGTTTTTATTAAGAGAAAGAAATCAAAAACATATAAAAAGATTATTACAATGTATATGTATATAATTATGGGAATGGGAAATTTCTAGCAATCAGTTGGCAAGAATTGTAACAAAAAAACATATTAGATATAATTGTAATCGTGCAAGATAAACAAACGTTTATGAGTCGAAAACAGATTTCATTAAACAGTATATCCATTTATTCTATTATTCTTTTATTTTATTCTATCATTTTTAATAAATTCTTTTTATTCGTTCAAGTTAATCGGGGTAAACCAATCAATCTAATGTGGTAGAAAAGGAAGGAAGTTTTATGGAAATTGATAAGTTTGTGTTTATCTATGATAAAAATAAAATATTTTTCATTTCAGATTTTATCAAGTCTAAATATTTATGATTCAGAAGTTGCAGAGTAAGATTTATTCGTAAATGCAAGAAATATATTATTTCAATATGCGTGATTTATTTGAAAGCATGTAAATATTTTGAAAAATGTGAATGTTGCCAAAAAATATTTGGAAAAATATTTGAAAAAAAAAATCAGAATATTAAGGATTATATCTATTATCTTATCATTAAGATAATATTTTAATTTTCAAATCTTGAAATCTAATTCTTCTAATTTTGAAATCTAATACATAATTATAGATATAACAAAAATTTTCAAAAATGCGTTTTGTATCGAGATATTAAGTTATAATAATGTGAAACGTTTATATCATAAATCTATACAATATTAATTTATAATTGTGCAATGCACAAACATTATATAAACTTATAATGTAAGTATTTATGACGTAAAAGAATAATAATGAAATAAAATTAGATAAAATAAAATGTTATCTAATATATATTAGAAAAAGAATATTAATTACAAAATATCAAATATACACATACATATACATATACATATATAATATTTGAATATTAAATATTAAATATATTAAATACTAAAACTATATTAAATATATTAAATATTATTTAATACTAATATTAAATATTAGATCTATCTGAAATATATATATCGCATCATCTTACGAGTTATAAATTTTGTATTTTCAAAATGTGATTATTTAATATAATCATTGATAAGCAACCGTTTGCTTGAAAAAAAAAATAAATAAATAAATTGTCCATAAATCTCACGAAGTCCAGAAATTATTAAAAGTCATTTGATAAAATGAGAAGGTATATTGAGAATAACATCACTATTCAGCTTATTACATTTTTATTCCGTTATCTTTCGTTTCATTTCAGAAATCAACACGAATGGTTTATATATATACGTATATATGTATATAGACATGTATGTATATATGTACATACATACATATATACATACATATATATATATTCGATCCACAAGTAAGTCGTCAGTTAATGAATATCTACACAAGTTTTTTTTCGATCTTCTAAGACGATCCTCTTTCCTCTTCGATCTACCTTTCAGGTAAGATTCAAATGTCTTTATTCCTTTTAAAAATAATTGTTTTATATCATCAAGATATTCAAATACAATTGTTTGACATTTATTATATTTACGATCTATTCTATAACGTTTCGTGTGTATATTATGTTAATGAGAATCTGCCAGTGTTTATTAAAATCCATTAAATATCGTTTATATTTTGCAGCAAATTATTTATTCGAATCCTAATTGATTCGCAGAAAAAGTAAAGAAAAAAATGTATATTAATTTGGAAATTCTTTGTGGAATAGTGATAACACTTATCGCGTTGTATTGTTACTTAACGTTCGATAACAATTTTTGGAAAAATCGTGGAGTGATTGGACCAAAACCCGTGCTGGGATTCGGCAATGTGAAAGATGTAATATTTGGAAAGGAATCGCTGTCACAATTTCTCACAAGGATGTACAACGAATATAAGAACGAGCCGATGATTGGGATATTTTCAAAAAGGACACCTATTTTAATTATTAAGGATCCAGATCTTATAAAGACTATCTTGATCAAAGATTTTCCCAAGTTTGCGAATCGGGGATTATTTCCAATTTTTTCAGTAAGTATTTAAATAAACGTGAAAAATAATTCACGATCTTATTTTCTTTCTACGATTTTTAAAAGGACAAATAAATTATTGCAACGTATCTTTTATTCCACGATTTCAATATTTCGTTTTTGAAACGCACAATAGAAAATATCTGTATAGCTATCATGAATCACATTTTTACTTATTTATACATAATACAAAATTTTACGTTATTTATTTTTTACAAATGAAAATTCATTTTCCATTATCTCACTTGTATTAACATTTCATTTCCATCTTCACGATTTTTGTTTTTTATATTTCTTTCTTATTATTACACTTAAATACTTTATTGTCCAACTTTATTCCAAAATTATTATATGAAATTATTTTAAATTCTTCCATCGAGTGTAATAAAAAATACAATAAATGAATAAATAACATTTTAATTTTTCTTTTTAATATGTATAACGTTGAATCGTTATAGCGAGATCCGCTGACTCATCATCTCTTCAATCTAGAAGTTGAAAGATGGAAGCCGTTGAGAACACAATTCACGCCGTTATTTACCGCCAGTAAACTTAAAGAAATGTTCTCCCTGATTCTCGAATGCGCCGACCAACTGGAAAATTACATGGACACGTTGATAAAGAAAGGGGAGCCCATCGATGTTAGAGAAGTTTCAGCCAGATTCACCACCGATGTCGTTGGAAGTTGCGCTTTCGGGATAGAGATGAACTCCCTTTCGGAAAAAGAGAGCATATTCCGTCGATTAGGGAAGTTAATCTTCGCCACGACATTGCGAAAGATATTGAGCCTTAGGATGCAAGATATGTTCCCATGGTTGTACAATTTATTCCTTTCTATATTCCCACGGGACGAGAAAACGAGGATCATCACGAAACTAATGATCGATACAATGAAGTACAGAGAAGAGAACAATGTTTTCAGGCCTGACTTTATAAATATGCTTTTAGACCTCAAGAAACATCCAGAAAAGATTGATATCGGTTGGTATACTAGCAATAATTGCTAGTCGGTCAAAGTAAATTTTTACTTTATCATAAAATGCTCGAGTTATCCAGATCCACCAATCGGATCCTTTCTTGTTTTCTTTCGTGAATCGCTGTTTTGCAAAATTATATATACGATATTTTTATACGATCCTTTCTTTTCAGAGTTAACGAACGATTTATTATCGGCGCAAATTTTCATTTTCTTCGCTGCCGGTTTCGAAACTTCTTCGTCAACGATTAGCAATGCTCTTTACGAATTAGCTTTGAATCCCGATATCCAGGACAAGTTACGAAAAGAAATCAAAAAGTTCGAAGTGGAAAATAATGGAGAATGGAAATATGAGATCATAAAAGAATGGAGTACTTGGAGAAAGTTTTTCAAGGTGATAAGCAAATTTTTAATTTTCGAATCGAAATTTCTCAAATTTTTGCTTGATCGGTGGTGACCAATTTCTGAAACATTATTTTCCATTTGCAGAAACTCTGAGAAAATATCCAGCCTTGCCAATTCTGAGCAGAAAGTTAATAAACGATTATACCTTCGAAAATAGTAAAATAACAGTTCCCAAAGATTTAAAGATCTGGATACCGATTTATGGCATTCACCACGATCCAGATATATATTTAAATCCGGAAAAGTTCGATCCTGAAAGATTTTCGAAGGAGGAGATAAAGAAAAGGCATCCTATGCATTTCTTGTCTTTTGGACACGGACCAAGAAATTGCATTGGTATGTGACAAAATTATAATTATTTGATTGCAAACAATTCTCCCAATGACGTGAAAAAAATTTATTTTGCAAATTTTTTTTTTATTCGTTCAAACTTTAGCAAATGAATGACGAAATTTAAATTTAATATCTGTTAATCGAGATTATGCAAGAAAAAATACAATTATTAATTATTAAGAAAAGTCATTTTCAAATTAGAATTAGATCAGGCTAAAATAAATATAAAATTGATGTACAAAAATATCGATTGAGAGAGAGATATTTATTAAACTATAAACAACTCGATTAATAATAAAATTATAAATTTTCTTATCCTGTTACTACGATCATATTGTCATATGATAAAATTGTGATATCTTTTTTTATCTATATTGTTCCACAAATATCATGATTTATAAAAATGTTATTTTTATAATATATTGTTGGAGAATATTAAATAATTCCTTATATATTTTCCAATATGCTCAACTCTAAATATTCGTTCCAGGTGCACGATTTGCGGTATACCAAACAAAGATTGGATTAATAAAGATTCTTCGTAATTTCGAGGTCCACGTTTGCAATAAAACATTAATTCCTTACAAAGTTAATCCGTATACGGCTCTTTTAGTACCAATAACGGGTTTATACTTGAATGTAGTTAAGTTGAAAAATTAATATCTTTTTCCCCTTTTTTTTTTTTTTTTTTTTTATATAAAATATTTTACTTTATATTTACGTAATAATGGAATATGTAATTACATATAATTCTATGTTTAGATCTTATAGATATTTATTCGGAAGAATTTTATTTAATTTTATTCAATTTATACGTATACGTTGAATATGACGAATAAGAATCGTTTAATTGTAAATAAAAGTGAGATATAGTATTGATAATAATTTAAATTGTGTTGCAATGTATGTTAATATATATCAGCATGACGTTATCTGCAAATTATGTTTCGCCTCGAATAAAAACGTTTTTTAAAAAAATATGATAAAATTAACCTAATTCTCATGTACATAAGTATATAACAAATATAATCATTGATTTCAATGATTTGAATTTTATTAATATTAATAATAACAAGTCTGTTCAAATAATCGGACAATCAGTTATGCATGTAAATTTATGTTTAATCTCACTTTTGAATTACCAACAACAAGTAACAGTGGTCTTTGAAAAAAATTTATTAGTTTGCAATTTATTCACTTAATTAATATAAATTTAACATAATATAATAATGTAAAAAATGATATTAATATAAATAAATGTAATAAAAAAAAAATAGATAGTTCATCTTACCTCTGAAACTCGTGAATTGGCTGGCTTCGATTTGATATTTTTCAGCATCATGTCTTTTTAACAAAAAGTATTAATAAAAAATCGTAAATTCATCGCCGAAATTATCCATCACATCGAATAATAATAAATATTTACATAATTATTATATATCTATAAACAGTGATGAATGAACTTTTATCACTGTTATCACTATTATCATTCTTAATTATCACGTGAGATTATTATTATCACATACAAGATATTACTTTGTCATATCCATGTAATTAACATGCACAAGTTGAAATACATTTTATATACACATACATACTTTATTGGAAAAATATCAAAAGAATTTATAAATAATACTTATCACGTAATTTATCGATAAATAAATATAATATTAATCTGAACTTGTGACACGAAGAGTCGCAGGACATATCGTTTAAATGTGAGTGAAAATTGAAATAACCAGCAATAACGTTAAATGTAACATAAATATGAAATAAAAATTTTTTCTTATATAACGTTATTCAAAATTGTTAAAATTAGTTAAACCTTCCATCCAATTAAAAATCGAAATTTAAATTTGTGCATTTTTATTTTATCGCAATAAGTTAAAAATATAACGATAATAATTTCGGTTTGTCATCATTGTTATCTAGTACATAAATTACGTTCGAAGTTAATATAATAGTAACCTAGTCACTATTGCTTAAACAATTTTTACTTAAACAGACATAAAGAAATATAGTCATAGTTTTAATACAAATTCAAATAAATAAGATTTATAAAATAATTAACACATTAAATAAATAAAAAATTCTTAAAAGTTAATTTCGTAATCATTTAAAGAAAAAATTTTAAAAAAAGTTACAAAAAATAATTCCAACGATCTCCGTCTCCGTTTTTTAATCAGAAATATCAAATATCTGATTATAAATACGTTATTTAAAATATCATAAAATTCATATAATAAAATCATATAATAAAATTAAATAAAATTGTTTAAATTGATTACCATTTGATTAAATGTTACTGCCAATTTGTAGAAGATAGTGAATTAATTCTTCGCATGATCTACACAAATTATAAAAAATGTATATTAATTTAGAAATTTTTTGTGGAATAGTGATAACGCTTATTGCGTTTTACTGTTATTTAACAAGTAATAATAATTTTTGGAAAAATCGTGGAATATCTGGACCAAAACCCATGTTGGGATTCGGCAATATGAAAAAGGTAATATTTGGAGAGGAATCGTTAGTACAATTTCTTACAAAGATGTACCATGAATACAAGAACGAATCTATGATTGGAATATTTAAACTAAAAACACCTGCTTTAATCATCAAAGATCCAGATCTCATAAAAACTGTCTTGATTAAAGATTTTTCAAAATTCATGAATCGAGGATTATTGCCAATTATCTCAGTAAGTATAAAAATAATACTGTATATGGTTTCAAGATAATAACAAAAAAATAATTAAAATTTATTCTTTTTTACAATTTGTGCTTTATTGATATTTCATAAGTGTATGAATAAGTAAGTTAAAAAAAAAAAAAAAAAATAGAAAGCAAAATTAATGTAATTAACAAAATGAATATAATGCGATCAATTCATTCTTTATTTATATGCGATATATTGTGATTATACCTTATGATAACATTATCATAAATGACGTCTTATCAATTTTTACAACTATTCTATAACTTAAATAAAAAATATTATATACATTTTTTTTATTTCTAAGTAAAAATAACAAAGTGAATAAATAATGAATAATTATTGAAGAAGATGTAATAGATAAAAAAAAAAATAACTCTAAATAAATAATATTTGCTATTTTTTAATATGTTCAATGTTTCAGACAGAACCGATATCACAACATCTTTTCGCGTTGGAGGCAAAAAGATGGCAGCCATTAAGAAAACATCTTACATCAGGATTTACCAGTAACAAACTTAAAGGAATGTTTTACTTGATTCACGAGTGCTCTCAGCAACTCGTAAACTATGTGGATATCTTAATAAGGAAAGAAGAATCTATCAATGTGCGAGAAGTTGCCGCAAGATTTACCACAGATGTCGTTGGAAGCTGTGGTTTTGGTGTGGATATGAACTCATTGTCGGAAAAAGAGAGCGAATTTCGACGACTTGGAAAAAGTATCTTCGACACAAATGTCTATAAAATAATAATAGATCGAATCAGAGAATTGACGCCACAATTCTACAATTTGCTTCTTTATATATTGCCATTAGATAAAATATCGCCAAATATTCTGAAACTAACGAAGGAGACAATAGAATATAGAATAAAGAATGATATCTTTAGGCCTGATTTTATAAATATATTATTAGAACTTAAGAAACATCCAGAAAAAATTGACCTCGGTTAGTACAAATTTACTATACAAAGATGATACAGAATTTGTAGAAAAAATATTCACAATTTACTCTTTTTTTACTTTTAATAATTGCTGTTGTGTAAAGTAAGTTATGTTGCTACGTTAAACTATTGGCCTTGCTATAGTTTAATGTGAAAGAGAGAGAGAGGGAGAGAGAGAGAGAGAGAGAGAGAGAGGAGGAGGAGAATAA